ACTCAGAGATACTCACTCACACTCACACTCAGAGATACTCACACTCAGAGATACTCACTCACACACTCACACTCAGAGATACTCACACTCACACTCAGAGATACTCACACTCAGAGATACTCACACTCAGATACTCACACACACACTCAGAGATACTCACACTCACACTCAGATACTCACACACACTCAGAGATACTCACACTCAGAGATACTCACACTCACAGATACTCACACTCAGATACTCACACTCACACTCAGATACTCACACTCAGATACTCACACTCAGATACTCACACTCAGACTCAGATACTCACACTCAGACTCAGATACTCACACTCAGATACTCACACTCAGAGATACTCACACTCAGAGATACTCACACACACACTCAGAGATACTCACACACACATACTCAGAGATACTCACACTCAGAGATACTCACTCACACTCAGAGATACTCACACTCAGATATACTCACACACACACACACTGAGATACTCACACACACATACTCAGAGATACTCACACTCAGAGATACTACAGACTCACACACAGATACTCACACACACTCAGAGATACTCACACTCAGAGATACTCACACTCAGAGATACTCACACACACACTCACTGAGATACTCACACTCACACTCAGAGATACTCACACACTCACACTCAGAGATACTCACACACACACACACTCACTCAGATACTCACACACTCACACTCAGAGATACTCACACTCCCAAATACACTCAGACACACTCCTACACACACACATACACACAGACACTCAGACATTCCCCGCGTGTGCGGGAGAGAGAGAGGAGAGAGGAGAGGAGAGGAGGAGAGGAGAGGAGGAAGAGCGAGTGAGGAAGAAGGGAAGGAAAGAGAGAGGAGAGGAGAGAGGAGGAGAGGAGAGGAGGAGGTGATGAGCTCTCCATCTGCGGCTGATTTCGTGCTGATCCGCCTGGTGTCCTCGGGCCTGGGGGGGAGAGGGGGAGGAGGGGGGGGGATGGCGGAGGTGGTGATGATGAAGGAGGAGGAGGAGGAGGAGGAGGTGATGGCGGCGGCGGAGCGGGAGAGGGAGCGGGAGAGGGAGAGCGGGTCCCGGGGCGGCAGTTACCGCTGCACCTGAGCCGCAAAATGCAGCAGCGGTTGGACTTACACCCGACCCGGGCCAAGGCCAAGGCCAAGGCCGGGGCGGGCACCGGGGCCGGGGCGCAGCTCATGGTGTTCCGCCGGGTGTTGCGGGCCGAGGCCGAGGCCGAAGCGGGGCCCGGGCTGCGGGGGGTGGAAGGCGGGGACCCGGGGACAGGCGACCCGCTGCCGGGGCCCTGCGGGCGGCCGAGCGGCCTCTCCTCCTCCTCCTCCTCCTCCTCTCCGCCGCCGCCGGCGGTCCCCCCCGCGGGTCCCGGGGTGAAGGTGAAGGTGCTGCTGAGCTCCGCCCGGCGCCGGCCCGAGTGCCCGGGGCAGCCGGGCCTGTGCTCCCGGCGGCGGCCCCGGTGTGGCCTGAGCGGCCGCCCCGGGCCGGGGGAGGAGGAGGGCGGCGGCGGCGGCGGCGGCGGCGGGGGGGAGACGGGCTGCTGCGAGGAGCGGGTGCTGGCGCTGGCCCGGGAGCTCGGGCACTTCACGGTGGCCGAGGCCGGCGGCTGCGGCTGCCCCGAGCCGGGCCTCGTGCTGCTGGAGGCCGAGGAGCCGAGCGACGCGGTGCTGGTGCTGGAGGCGCCCGAGCCCGAGCCCGAGGATGAGGCCGAGGCCCCGGAGGACGACGACGAGGAGGAGGGGAGCGGCGGCGGCGGCACAGCGACGACCCGGAGCCGGAGGAACCCAGAGCCCGGGCTGCGCGGCCTGGCACCGGGGGAGCGGAGCGGGAGCGAGGCCGAGGCGGGGCCGGGGAGCAGCCGGGCCCGGGCCCCTCACCGCAGGAGGAGGAGGAGGCGGGGGCGGGGGCGGAGCCCGGCGGCAGGGCCAGGGGGGGTCGGGGCGGCGGCTCCCCGGGCGGCTCCGTGTCGCTGCAGAGGGGCGGCGGCGGCGGCTCCCGACACCTGTGGCGGCTCCAGGGCGGGAAGGCCCGGAAGAGCTCTCTGAGGAAGCGGCTCAGTCGCCTCTTTAGGACCAAAAGCTGCTCCGGGGCCTCGGCCTCGGCCTCAGCCCCCGGGCCCGGGCCCGGCCTCGGCCTCGGCCTCGGCACACAGTCGGTGGAGGATCTGGAGACGGCGTCGGGCCGTCTGGAGGCCATGTCAGAGCCGCGCGCGGAGTCTGAGCCCCGAAGGTACCGACCGACCGACCGCTGTCGCTGTTTCTGTCGCTTCTAAACACACTTTATACTCATCTCATAATAACATATATATATATACAATATGATAATATATACAATACTATAATGTGATGTGTAATAATATAATACAATAATAATATATAATAATATAATAACATAATATATAATATGATAATATATACAATACTATAATATGATGTGTAATAATATAATATAATAATAT